ACAAGATGGGAAGCTGAGATGAAATAGGAAATGAACCCTCTCTTAATACGTGTAAAAAATAAATAAAAAAATCCTATACCCTCGTAACATGCCCAGAGTTATTTTTTAGCTTAATCCAGAGATATGTTATTCCTTAAGGAGATGATATATTTCTTAGGACAATTACTTTAGTGATTGAGAAGAATATTTCTATCACATTAATTACACTCTGGAGGGATTATCCTCCGGAGGCATTGACGGAATCATAAGGACGTGAAGGGATCAAGTTTGTCCTTTATAGTAATTTTGATAAAGGGACGTGAGGGGAATCTTTCACATGTTCCAGTTTATAACTAAATCAGTCTTCTGGTGTTTGGTGTTAGATATATAGAGTATTGCAGCTCATAAAATTCCAACCTAGCTGATGATATGCTATGGGCGGGAGTCTTGAATATTCTTTACAGGTTTCTTCGGGAATAAGATTGGATACAACCCATAAATGTTACCACAGAATGTCTTCAGTATTGCTTTTAATAAAGCGCGCGAATATAAAAGTCTTGTTAACTCACTTATCATCCTTAACTTTTGAAGTTTCCGCGGATATGATTAATTTCATATTCTATGGCTTAAGAATAATTCAACTCTGCCGGAATGGAACAATACATTCGGGTTTATACGCAGCCTGGCGGCTCTCAACATATACTGTAGTGTAGGCTTATTTGCCTCTGATGAAAACTCTCAATCTAAATTATGATAGTCTGGATTTTTGATTAAATTTAGTGAAATACGAATTTCAGTTGTCAATAATTCCTTAAAAAAACATAGATTCAGCTCACATTCCAATCCTTGAACCTGTCCTAAATGTTGTTTCACGTCTGAAGTTGCACCTTTTTTTTTCCTGTATTCGTCTATCGCGGCGCTCAAGCCTTATGGGTAGGCTGCGCATTTTTATATTTTGTTACACGTTCGGCTTTTTTCCTGTTGTCTATATTTTTCCTTATGTTTCATTCTATTTAGGAATATCCGTTAATTTTTCCCTCTTCCACTTTGAGTCAAACCCGTCCTTTTTTAATTCATATAGAATTTTGTTCTCGGGGCATATTCCTCTCTAACAGGATGGGTTACTCTAGCTTCTTAACTCATGAACGGATGATTTATATATGACACTATGGCTCAACTTATCCACACATCACAGGAGTAAGAGGGCGGTTTACTTCTTTTATTCATTCTCAATGAGTCTCCCCATTGCCAAAATACTGCTATATAGAAAAAGTGGGAGGACTTCTCAAAATTAAGAGGTTATTCTCATAGCCACTTCGCTCATAATCTGCAAAGGAATAGAAAAAAATAAAATCAAAGTCATATGAGTAATGCGATCCAAAGAATTGGAATCCTTATATTCGAAATCAGGGCAACACAGAATATACAGGTAACAAAACAACTTTCATGTCAGACCTCTGACCAGTACTGACCCATGCAGTCAACATAGATATCTTATGATTACGAGATGGGATAGAACAAGAAGGGACACCTTTACACTAAGCGTAGAGACACTGCAGGTCTTAATTCTTCCAGAATTTACATCAGAAACTGTGTTATATCTTCACAAAAACAAAATAGGTTTTAAGGAAGCCTCTGAAACTTCAAAGAAGAAATAAATCTATTTTAAACCATTATATATTTTCATGTATAACACCACAAAGGGTATCATAGGATATTACATCGTAGAGCAAGAGATAGAATTGTAGAGTTTTTAATTCAAACCATAACGCTCAATACAAGCAGGAAAAAATTTAGGACACCAATTAATATATGTAAGAAATTTCGAACGTATATATCTTTCTCGCTAACTGCGAATAATTGCGTGTATTCTGAGACATGAAAGTTGGCAAAATACCCTTCTCTTATCTGCTGCGGTATTGGGCCCTGTGAACATCCCACCTCATATGTTACTGTAAGTGTTCTCTGTCGTGTTCACCTTGTTTTTTTGTGGGTCCATTTCTCCTGTGTTAACATTGCTTTAGGTACTTCTAGTTGTTAGGTTATTTTTGTTCTTTTTGGTTATATGGGGCTACTTTTCCTTTGCATTTTCCCTTTCAGCTTCAGGTTCATCTTTGTTGATACTGTTAAGTCAGTTATATGATTCTACTCTATATATTTATTTTTCCTCTGAAATGCAGAATTCTGCTCAATGCCGCAGTACCTTCAATGTATAAACTTCAGTTGGGGCATTTCTTCTACTTCATTTTTTTCTTCTCTTCTTCCAAAAATGATAGGTTGTTTGTATGTTATGGATATTCGTATCCTCTTGTTAAATTTATTCTCGTAACATTAATGTTATCAACACCAATGAGATCCCAGGGAAAACTATACTCTGCATATAATACTACTTTTAGGATATCGCCCTTTCTCAAAGAATGCTCTTGCAGATACATCACAGGATTTCGTAAGGATGTGATGTCTTTATAGTACAGCTGGGATCTTGACCTGTTCAAAAATAAGGTACCGCAAATGAGAAAACATCCGTGCAGTATGAACAATCGTTGTATTCAAATAAGGAAACGTCCAATGTTTCATCCAGCGCATAGTAATATTCGGGGCACATAGCCTGAAGAATAATAGGACCAAATATACCAAAGGACCTTGCAGCATGAACAATAACACATACACCTGAGCAGTGCACAATACACAAACAGTATAGACCGTAAAGCAACAGCGTCCAGAAACCAGCCTACACTTTCTCAGACACAAATACACCCTAAGGGTATCCCATCAGCCATGAACAGTAAAACTGAATGCCCAACCATGGAACCTGATCCGTACACCGACAGGATACAGCAGAAAATCCTAAGCCTAAGTAGATAAGAAATAGGAGCAAACAGCAGAGATAAGGAGGCATATGTAAAGAATTAACCGTAGGAATAAAGACTAGAGGGTGCCAGTACCCGCTAAGCCACAGGCCTCACTCTTAAGCCGTCAAGGCTAAGCCATAAGGTATACAGCTTAGTACCCAGAACCTGCAACCCCAACACTACACCCTAAATCCTAAAAACATAAGGATGATCACAGTACAGAAGGCGCCTAAGCAATAAATCTTACCCGCCTAAGATAACTTATCGGACAATACTAATAAGCACTAAGAGGTAAAAGCGGCCCCCCGACAATACACGGGCACCTGGAGGTGTAGACATAGAAGATAAAGCTTGACCACTACACTCAAGAGTGGAACCAGGGGGATAAAGAGTAAAGCATTAATCCTGAACATTAAAGAGTACGGAGTAAAAAATGAAACCTGACAGGACCCCACAACACCCTAAGCCAACAGCACCATGCCATGGATAAAACCTAGATGAAAGAGGTGCTTAAACCCTGCAAACTAACTGCGTACGCTACAAGCCTAAAAGTCAGGGAATACAAGTAGAACATATAGGAGGAAATGTACTCTTTAACAGAACTCCATAAGATAGAAGCCCTAAGAATTACAGAAACCGAAGCAGAACAGCAGGGTAAAGGATGGAAAGCAGGCCTAAGGAATAATAGCAGCAACCTCGAGCCTCAAGCGGAAAGCCAAGTGCGCAGCTTAAGCAGTACGCCATAGAAACCATATAATAACGGGGAGGGGCATGGCCTCACAAAATACTTCTGCAATATACACTTCCAATCTCTACACCTAAGCATTGCATGTGCAGCACAGTGCATGAAGCATCAGACTTCATCATCACTGAGCCATAAGCCATACCTAAACCCCCGTAGACATCGAAGCCTAGGAATTATCACAGGAAGAGGAAGGCTGAAACAGCGAGCCCTGGATCCAACATCGAACACTTAATCATTCTGGGTTAAGAGATAAAGCCTAAGGAATGAAACCTAAGGAGGTAAAAATACCTGCAGAGGCAGTAGCCGGCAACTATAGAAACAGCAGCATGAGCAATCGAATCCTAAAAAATAAGATCTGAACTTAACGCCATACTCATGCACCATAAAGATGAAGACTAAATGTGCAACTTAGGCGTCAAACCCGCAGGCGAACCCCTAAGAAATTGAGTCGTAATGGAGAAGGGGAGCCTCGAAATTATAAGCTTTAAACCGAACAACATGGACAACAACAAAAGAAGAATTATAAGTTGGGCCTAAAAGGGAGAAGACAAGGAGGGAAACGTCAGAAGCAAGCAATAAAGAATACAAAATAATCCAGGAGAAATAAAACAATAGGGGCAGAGTCGTGGGCCTGGAGGTAGGAATAGCCCCTAAAACCTAAATCTCAACTCAGAAGCTATAGACATAAGCCATAAAAGCTACAGAGGACCCCCTCCCCATAACCCTGAGTGCACCACCCTATAAAGTACAGGGGCCCCCTTAAAACCAGAACGCCGCAACCGTGAACACTGAAATTCCATGCTTTGAAACCAAATCTAAATCAACGAGGTTAAATCCTCGACCTTAGGTCGTACAGTATGAAATGTAAGCCTACACCATAGGGCCACAAAATTACCGCCAGCGAAGGAAAGAGGGAGGAGACCATGAGTCCTCAACATCAAACCGAGAAATCCCCAGCGAAAATCTCGTCCGTGAAAGCCAAGTTACAGGGGGATGCATGATAGAATGCGAAACCTACACCTCCAAATGTGAACCCAAACGACTGAGGATAAAGAGGGAATACTAAACCCAAAATCAAGGAGCATAACATGCACGTACGCTTCTGGTATAAACCGTAACGACTAGACATTGACAGTCCACTTAAGTCGAAGTACGGACACCTGACAACTAAAACCTATAGTACTAACCCATGAGGAATAGACCATGAAACATGTAGGCTACACCTTGGAGGGTAAGACCTAAATATTAAACCCAGAACACTAACACATGAGCACTACACCATACATCCTGGTACAATGAGACCTAGAAGTTCCAACATGGAAGCGAGACAGTGCACGCTGAAAATCAAACCCTCAACCTACACCTTAAAGGATAAATCCTAACCCCTAACCCCAGCAGAATAATACAAATGCCCAGAACCTATGGCGGTAACATAAAGCAAACACCCTACACCTGAACCGCAAGGTTTAAACTCAAAGAGACAAATAGATCATCTAACTCGTAAACTCCAAAGAAGAGTCCAACATCGTAATCACTGAAGCAACAGGATGACACCCCGGCTACCTCTAGGGTAGACCTTAGGGGATTGTCTCGACATACGCTAAAGCTGAAAAATGAAAGCCCAAAAGTTAAGCCCGAAAGCGAAATGCTGAGGTTGGCAAGATGAATACGTACGATCAAACAAAAACATTAAACCGGGAGCTAAAGGCCCACTGAAGCCTTGGCAGTGAACGTAACGGCAAAATTTTAACACATGAAGGACAAAGAGTGAGGACTCAACCCTAAACCCTAAAGCCTAAACCATGAACAGTGACGCCTCAGAGCTACAACATCGGGACTATTCGTATACACCCGGACAGGAACAGATTGGAAGTTGTAAGCACAGGGCGGGGGAAAATAGATCCAGGGGACTAAGACAGAGGATGAACGGAAAAAACTGAACCATAAAACCTAGATCCTAACATCACAACGGTGAACCTAAGATCGTAAAAAATAAACCCTAATCCATGCTCCCTAGAGGCAACTTCTTGAAACCTAAAGGGTCAAGGAAGGAACTAGACCATAATCGTAGGGGATAGGGCCCGAACGGTAAATTCCATACACAAAAGTCTGAACCATACACCTAAAGAGATAGCCAATAAGCCTAAACCCCGAGAAAGAAAAGATGAAGGCTAAACCAAGCAAGGATGCAACGGGAATCCTAAAACGTCAACGTAAGTCTAGACCCAGGGATAATACCCCAATCCTAAAGACTCAACATAAATAATAATCCCTAATGGCCGCAAACTGTATCATACACCACGAACCCCAAATACGCAGGACCTTGAATCCGAACCCCCGACCCTAAACCAGCAGCCTAAATCCTAAACCTCAAGCGTAGAATCTAAGAGGTGGACTCTGAACCCTGAACTCAACAGGCGACAGACAAAACCCTAGAAGTTAAACCGTGAACCCTATACCGTGAAGCCTTAAACATAAATCCTGTACCCTAAAACTAAAGCCTAAACTATGGATCCTAAGCAGATAATCGAAAACTATAAACCGTAAAGCCTAAAACTTGGACCAAGACCCCGAAAAGCTTAACCCGAAATCTTGACCGCCAAAAGCTAAACCTTAAACCCTAAACCTAAACCCGTAAAACGAAAACCATAAACCCTAAATGGTACCCGAACAAGCGTAAATCATAGACGGTAAAACATAAACCGTAAATCATAGACAATAGACCGTAGACTGTAAAGCGTAGAACCTAAATGCTGAACCATAGATACTGGACCTTAAATTCTGAATCCTACAGCCTGAAACCTAAAACCCAGACCCGGAAAACTAAACACTTGAAGCTTAAAACCTAGACGCTAAAGCATTAACACTAAACGATGAACTCTGCAGCCTAAACACTGAAGATTGAAGGCGTAAGCATAGACCTGAAACCCGGAAATCCTAAGCCCGGAATCTCGAATCCTGATCCCTGAACCCGAAATCCTGAATCCTAAACTCTGAACTCTAAACCTGAGACCCCCATTCCCCAACCGTAAATGCCGAATCCTAAGCCCTAAACCCTAAGCCCTAAAACATAGCCTCCCGTTTCCCCGGCTTCCCAACCCTTCCTCACCCAAACGGGCCGGCTGCCTCCCTTTTTGCGCCTGCCTTCCCTCTCCTTCCTTCTTTGACTTCTCTGATCATTCCCGGGGGGCCCCAGTATACGCCACTCGCCCTGGTAGTCCCCCCTGGTCCCATATATGGCTCCCCCCTGATGATTTGGTTCCTCCTACTCTGCATTTGGACCTGCCGGACCTCTTGTATACCCTTCTCATCCCATACAGTGCCATCAATGCCATCGACCCTGCTCCCATGAGTCCCCCTATAATTTTTCCTCCCATCGAAGAGAACAATTCTTCTGATTCCTCCTGGGCATCTAGGTGGGTTTTTTCCTGTGACGTATCTCTGGCACTCATCTCCTTCGACGACTGCTGACTGTGGCTGCCTCCACTGTGCCTTTCTCCTTCTTCTTTCTGTTCCTTTTCTTCTTCGCTCATTCCCTCATTAATCGTCTCTGAAAAAGGCGTGATATGTTATTAGTGTGAAGCTAAATTCTATTCCGGACAGGTTCAGTCTGGCCTCCCCCTTATTTATATGGGCGTGGGAATCTCCGTTCCTCTTGGCGCTGGAGTATTACTGCTCCCTCCTGTGCCTTTAGCCACTACTCCGTCTCTACTCACCTTCCCCATAGTCCCCGAGAGTATAATGCTCTGACTGTTGCAGGGTCCCCTGGGCGGGTTTTCCCCTTACGCTTCGGCATATCTTGGCTGGGTAGTCGCGCGCTTCATGTCCTAGAAACTCGGCTATCTTGACATATAGAGCACCTCCTATATTTAATTGGGCGCCTCGTCCCAACTGAAGATTAGGATTATGGATAAACCAATCCTGCATTATCTGTTGTGCAACTCTTGTACCACCCCATAACTTTAATAAGGTATACACTCTATCACATGCGTCCGCTGGAACGTCGACGCTCCCTGTGGTTCCGGTGTAGGCTTTCATTTCAAAGGCGTGAATTATTATACTTATGAGATCAATACAAGTGGCCAGCTGTCTCTCTTGGGTTTGCTGGTAATGTAATTGTCTCGTCCTGTTATATGTATCCCACTTCCAGCTCTCCCCCTTGCGGCTGCAGGCGGCGAGGAGGTTCCCGCTGACTGCTCTCCCTGTAGCTTTGGGGGAACATCCGGACCTGAAGTCTGACAGATTTCCACTCTCATCCTCTGTTAAATTGCTTCCCCAGATTTCCAGACCTCCACAGATATTAGTAGCAAATTGATGCTGCTGATATCCTACGGCTGCCTGCTTCTCTTTTGACTCACTGGGGTGCCATTCCCCTATTATTTCGCCTCCTTTCTTCTGCACCTTTAAATCTAATAGACGAGCCCCGCCGCCGGGGCCTGATAGTTCTGCCTCGCTTCTTGTAATCAGGTCCCATAGGCTTCCCATATAGGCAGGAATACTTATTGTCATGTCGGGTACTGGCAGGGATACTCTTTACTCTGTACTTGCCGGCGGAAGGATCTTTTATTTCGATAGAGGATTTTGATGGGGGGTCTGAATTATTATCCCGTGCTTCAGGGCGTTCGGAATTGCCTGAACACTTGCTCCTCCTGCTCTGAATTGGTCGCTTATTTCCTTCGATCTCTTAGCTTTGTGGGGTGAACTTGTATCCGCTCGGGTCCCCTAACCACTGGAATCCAGAGGGTTGTCTTCTGCCTGCGGTCCGGCATAAGTCTCGCCTTCCTAGTTCCAGGGACATGAGACGTCACTTTAGGAATGCTATTTGTTGTGGCTCCTCTCCTCCTTGCTTACGCTATTTTCTATATTAATACGGCTCCTTTAACGAAAATTCTTGACCCTCCTTGAACAGTCTTAAGATATTTTCGCTTTTATATTGCCACTCCTATCCTATACTCTCGTGCATGCTCTTTTCCTTGGGTCTAGCTCCCTTGGTCCATATAACTCTTCTTCTGATGTCCCAGAGCTAATATATGAGACGCTTCGCCTCCCGTATGCTCTCTATATGCCTTCGTCGTATTCCTGGGACGTGTCTTAATGTCTATGCCTCTCGGCCGCTAATTTGTCACGGCGTGGGAACACGGTGCCTTCAATCTAATGGGCATCCTTTGGTTCCTTATTCAGATTGAGGTTCCTGTTTCGTTATTGCTCCTGAGTCAGACGCCTTGTTGGATCTTTTCTGGGCTGTGACTGCTCTTAGTTTTCGTGCTCCCCATCTCTCCCCTCCTCATTACTTACCAGTCCCAATAGTAGATCTCCCTTTCCTCCCTTGGGATTTGGACCTCCTGCCCCTTTCTTTTCATTGCCGTTTGGATGTTCTTCGGTCTCCAGTGCCTAAGCCCTTTGGCATCCTCTGGTATCACCTCGTTGTGGAGATCACCTGTTCTCTCCCCCCTTTCCCTATAGTTTGGTATTCTCTTCTCCTTTCATTTATCCTGCCGTTTCCCTCTTCAGTTATATCCTCTCTTTGCCTCCCGTTGTTGACCACTTCCTCCTCATAGTGCATAGCATGTTCCTGTTCAGTTGGGACTATTTTGCGCCAGGGTATAGTCCTGGGTCCTCCTGGAGTCTTCCATACTGCCCCTCTATGGCAGCTAGGGGGGCCTCTTGTTTTCGTTTCTGGGAGGGGTCAATGAGGTGTTCGTTCCTGGAGTAGTTTGACTCCTCGGGGGATTTAATCCTATTGTTGCTTCTATTCTGTCCTCCCCCCCTATATTTGACCTGTTTCCTCTCTTCATGCTGCCTATCATAATATACTGGTAAGTCAATGTCGACGACCTATTATCCCTTTGCTCTCAGTCTTGACTGGAATTATGTTGTCTTTGAACTACTTATCTCTATAGACTGCTAGCACTGGGGTGCAATTTTCTTATTCTTAATCCTGCTCATTCCTCTAGAAACGTTCGCTGACGTTGGTGGGTGGATTCTAATCCTTGGATTGCTGGAATTATTCTCCTCATGCATCCTTCTCGTATCTACTTATAGTGCTACACTGCCCGCGTCCACTTCAAACAGCACTCTTCTCTTAAATGTCGCCTCATCCTCGTTATTTTATCCTTCCTACTTAAACTCTGCTTCGATTGATTCACTTACTATTCCCTTCCCGGGGGCCCCTAGGACCTTCTGTGATCCTTCAGAGATCTGACAGTCACGCTCGATCTGGTGGGTTATTTCCCAGGTTAAACTACAGTGAAGTGTATAGAAGTCCTCTTCTCTAAACATTCTAGCGTAGCTCCTCCTTTCTTCCTGTTGGATACCCTCCGGTTTCTCTTGCTAGTTGTGGGCGCTTCCGTCTTGCTACTCCTCCCTCAGTATTTTTTGAGAATTCACGTGGTCCCTCAATTTCTTATATTGCGCACTACTCCGCCTTATCAGTAACCTCCTTTTCGTACTTTCCTGGGCTGCATATAATTGTTATTCTACTACTCCACGACGTCCCTCTACTTGAATCCTTGGCCAATGTCTTGTCCTAGGGATTTTCTTATAGGTTAGTTTGACATTTTGTCTGTATCATTTGCATTTCCCTGGTGTTACTGCCATATGTATCCTTTCTCCGACCTTCCTCCCTAGGGTCATTCGCCTCTCATCTGTCCTCTGGGGACCGTATGTGGCCTGGGGGGTGTTCTTCTCCTGGTGTTTGACCTCTAAGGATATTTCTGTTAATCCTATAGGCCGGCTTGCATTCAAAATCTGTATAGGAACTCCTGTGTCCTAGCGTCGCTCTTTGGGAGGTTTGTCCATCCGATGTCCGCACCTTCCTTATTCTTCTCCACATCTTCTAAAGCTTCGCCCCTTTGGATTCTTGCGCTCCATCGCCTGTTGTCCTAAGATCTTCACTGGTCGACTCCTATTCCATCGGGAGTCCTTTTTGTTTTTTGGGGTGGTGTTTAATTCCTTTACTGTTTATTTTATCCGTGATTGAGGCTTGGTGATCATGCCTTTTTTGGCTCCTGATTCTTAATTTCGTCTTCGCAGGAGCTTCGCAGGGGGCTCAAGTCCATCGGATGTGGCTGCCTTAGGGTCGTAGTTTGGCCCTCATTATTCCACGGTTGTCTTCACTTAGGGAGGAGTCTCAGTGTGTTGTTCTGATTGGGTTTCTTCATTTTCTTACTGCTTCAGCTCCTAAAAAAAGTACCTCTGGAGTTTCCTATGTTTCGTATCTGTCTACTTTCTCGTCCTCCTTGGTCTTGGAAGTTTCTGCCCATTCTATTTGTCTGGCTCGTGTCTGTCCCCCTGTTCTGGGCTGCTGGGGGGACAATCGAGGGGGCTCCTTTCGTCTACTCTGGGGATTGTTTTAGGAATTATCTTCCGCAGGGGGACTGTTTGGAAACTGACTCTTCTTTGATATACATTCGACGGTTGGCTACAACTCTCTGTTATCCGACTCCTGGAAAATTCTATTTTGATGCGGCAGTACTCACTAATCTGTCGTGTTTATAGATTTCGGGTCACTGACTCATGCTAGACTTCCCTGAAATAAGGATTGTAGCCTCTTGGGGTTGCCGAACTTGGATTCGCACGTAGAGGAATTCCTCGGCCCCAGCTTCTGTCAGGATGGGGCAAATTGCTTCGCAAAGTCCTTTCTATCACTTACTGCTTTCCCCCTTCACTGGGACTGGTTGTATATACTTTTATTCCTCTTCTGTAATCTTGGCAGGCTTGATTCTTAGACCTGGTGATCCTTCACATCTGCCGCCTGTTGGCTTCGCTTGATCCCTCTTTTTTGCCTGGGGTTATCTTTTGCCAGTTGTCCTCATCCCTCCTTTCTTTAGGTGTTGTCTTCCTCGTAATGGAACTTGTTGTGTTTTTCAGGGTTAATGGTTTTGGGCTTTGGGGGGGGGGAATTCTGGCGCCAGGTTTCTATTCTGTTTCGGCCCGGATTGACCGTTAGAGACTTATTTTTCTAATTCCTTCGCTCTCTCTTCTAATATATTTTCCATTCTTATTCCTCTTTTTTGGCAATGTATCCTTGAGGCCCCCCTATTTCCTACTTATTCGTCCCTTATGCTTCCTGACTTGGCGCGCATTCACTCAGTTTTCTCAGGGGGAGACTTCTCCCTGTTTGGCTCCTAATCCTTTTGGTGTCTGGGAGTGTGTGCTCACCCTTCCCTGTCTGTTTCTCGTTGTATTATTCTGTGTCTATTTTTGCTTACTCTTTGCATCATCCTCGCGCGCCTGGGACTTGACTACCTGATATTCAACTTTTATTGGTTTATATCCTTATAATCGCTCCGTCCTTCCATTCTCTCCGTTGGTGTGTCTATTCGAGTTGCTTTAATTGTCACGTTCCTGTACTTACCTATTTCCAGTGAGTGTTGATCTAAAGGCCTAGGGTTGTTGCCTTTTGCTTTTTATATTTGTCGTCTCCTGGTATGGCCTCCCTCTTCTAAGCTCTGTTCTGAATTCCTTGCATGTTTCTCTGTCTTTTCCTGATTAGGAGGTTGTATTGTTGGGGTTACTGATTCCTTTACCTGCCCGTGTTTTTTGAGTCTTTTGCACCACCTCCTTTCCATCCTGCATATTGTCCCTGAATATGTTATTGCAGTTTGTTTGGTAAACACTGTGGTGGGGAGGAGTCTCTCCTTATTCCATGCAAATTCCTTATGCTCCTTGGCTTTATACTCCTCCTGGGCGTGTCACTTTTCCTTCGTCCTGCCCTTCTGTGGGGTCATGATCTTGTTGTACTCAGGCTTTTTTCTTTTTTCTTTGTTTTTAAGCATTGTGTTCATGCCTTCTCGACCGATTTCCCCCTTCACCTTTGCATCTATATATATGGTTAGTTTTACTTTTTATTCCTGGTTTGCTCTGGTCAGTCTTCTTCTCCTATGGGATCCTTTCTCCATATTTTCCCTTTAGCTGTTTTTTTTTCTCCCGCTTCCTGTTTCTTGACGAGTTTATCTCCCACCCTGATTCCCGGAAGGTGATTAATTCACACTCGCCGGACTGGACATTGGGGCTTACCATTATCTGTCCCCTTCTCTCTTTTCTTGTTGGTATCTTGGATTGGGTTGAACTCTAATGCCGTTTTTTGTTTGGCGGTGCTTTCTGTTGGTTGGGTGCTTACTCTTCTTGTCCATTTTCCCCCGACTTCCCAACTTCTGGAGTCCCTTAGTCGCTCGGTCGCTTGGTTGTCACTTCTGAATTGTAGTCGTGGTCTGCCTCCCCTTCATGATTGGGCTCTGACTTGCTGTTATACTGTGCCTGGGGTTTCTCCGTTCCTATTAGGTTTTGGGCTGGTTCCTTGGTCCTGCTGTTTTACACGGCTTCCTCTTCATCCTGTGGCTTATTCTGCTTCTCTCCTTTATCCTAGGACTGTTATTTCCCCGCGCCTGCTTCGTCCTTCCATTCTGGGGCCTTTATTTTCCTTTAAGTGTTGTTCTCTTCTTTGTTGTTATCACTTCCTTTTTATGTCAAACGGTTTTCTCCCTAGCCATTCGTCTTCTGCTAAGTAGGGTTCCCATATTATGCAGCCGGGGGTCCCGCAAACAAGTTATCTTCCTTGTCTTTTGGCTCCTCTGCTGCATGTTTCCTCTTCTGTTGTATTGCTTTGTGCTCCTCACTCGTCTGTTTAATTTGTTGTTCCCTAGTTAAGTTCTGGTGGTTCCGTGCGCTCCACCAAGTTATTCGTATGGATTGTTGTCTTCCTACTGCTGGCTTGTAGGTGTCCTGGTTTTCCCCGTTTTGCTGTTTCCCCCTCTGTTTTGTCTCTTTTCCTTTGTTGTTATGCAGTAATTTTTTTATTCTGTCTCATTTGATATTGTGGGTCCTTATATTTTTTTGTTCCCTAATAATTCTGCTATTGTACTCTGCTGTTTAGGGCCCGTCTTTCTGTTTTTTATGGTTTCTCTTGTCTTATATTTGATGTCGTTCTTCTGTATTCTTATTTTATTTGGTTAATCACTTTCCCTGGTATGGTGGGTTCTACTGGCCGATCCACCTTCACTTGTCTTCTTCTTAATGCTAACTTATTACTGTCCAGGCTCTACGTCTCCGGTTGGTAGGAATTTTTCCCTGTTGTTCTGTTCCCTGGTTTCGTGCGCCCTGCTTGACCTCCGCCTTGTTTTACACTGTTTTACTGAAGCCTCCTGTTCAATAATACGGTTATTATCTATTGCTTTTCTCACTGTTTCTTTCATTGTTCTGTTGCTCTCTTTGGCCCTCTTATTTTTACCTAACTTCTTCTATCTCGTATGGGAGGGTTATTTGTCCTGCTAATCTCTGTATTTCTGTTTGTCAGGCTTTGTCTTATTTTCTTATATTATATGCTGTGTTTTTCCCTGTGTAGTCCTATGAATTATTTTATCTGCTGTATTCACTATTTTCCTCTGATATACATATATCTTTATATCATTCTATAATCTTCACTTTTGCTGTTCCTCCTCTCTGGGTTATCAATGTTTGTTTTGTTATTGGAATGTACCCTTCCTTCTTAACTTTATACTCTATAACTATTTCATATATTTTTTATGGAACTTCGGTTAACTCTTCCTGTTATATATACCTATCCTTATTCATTCCACACCCTTTGCGTGTTTCTTCCCTTCACTTCCTTCTTGTATATATTCTAGTATTATTCTTAGTGCATCCTTACCCGTACTGGTTGGGTTCTTCTGTCTTGCCCTTAGTTTGTTAATAATATATAATCCTAATTATCGTATTGTGTCCCCCTCTGGTTCGATCTTTTCATGCAAGGATATTTCGATTCTCCCCCACGGCTGAATTTGTAGGATTAATTCTCCCTGGCCCCTCTGTTGGCTCGTCCCCTCTTGGTATTGTATCTTTCTCTTTTTCCTACTCCTTTTGCATGTTATAATATAGGATTGTATATTCCTCATATGGTTTATTCTTGTAGATGGATACTTGTCGTAAAATTAGGATATTCTTCTTCTCCTCTTCTTATTCTTCTCTCTTCTTGTTTCCTCCTGTGGCTCTGTCCCCTGTTCCCCCCTTTTTTAGTAATTACTGTATACTGATTATTTTAAATATCCTTTTATGATGTTCATCTTCATACATCTCATTCCTCCATATGCCTCATCAAACCTGCTTCAGTATCTATAGTTTTCCCTTTCGGCTCCTCCCGGTACCCCCCCTAGCAGTTTGTGTTTGTGTCCTCCCCCTGTCTCCTGGTTTACACTAGTTCTTCCCATTTATGGGCGCTTAGACCTTAATCTATTTTATTATGGCGCAAATTCCATATTCCTTTTTTCTCTCTTTCTGTTTGTTGGTTTTCTTGTGTTGTCCGTCTGTTTCTCTTATAATATACACTATGTCTTATCAGTAAATTCCTAACCATTATATGATGCTCCCCCGCTATGTCATACCCCTTTGCTTATCTACTCCTTAGCAGGTCACGACAGCTGTTTCTATATCATCCCTCATGATATGCTATATAGCAAAGAAGATATCATATAAGCCACAACATTCTGTATCCAGCTATTTAAACAGTTATTCTTTTGCCACCTGGTGGGTAAATCTATATTATGATAATGTATCGTAACATAAATAGTCCCCTGTTCATTCAGATGATCCCCACAATAACTCACCAATACGTTCGAAAATTCGGGTTAATTAATCACGTGGAATAACACACAATAGATTCATAAAATTATTTGACTTATTATTAAGGGAGGGAAGTTTCCTATTATCGTCTATATGCCCAGAGAGCATTACACTTAAAACTGATATAAAAACCATAGCGCTGCCAAGAGGATCATTTATTTATTGACTTCTTCTCATTTTCCATATGAATTTCATAACTGTAGTGGTCTGCAAGACTCCTTTATAGGATATATTCTCATTTCAATAGAGGAATGTTTTCGCCGTATAGGCTTATACTCCCCTATGCATAAAAGGGGTTATGAATATCACTTAACATTCTACATCCCCCTGTGGTGAATAAGGAGACGCCCGCTATATCATCATTTATAGTTTTAGATACAGACAAAAATGAAGTTACTGTACGACTTATTATACTCCATGGACTCAGCACAGATTCAAGATATTATCTGTCCTTATTCCTTTGTCTATATTTTAGAAGACATGAAACCCTCGATTTCATATATCTATTTTGTCAGAGGGAAAGATCTGCTGCGAACATTATTCCTTATGTGTCACCCCTAGTGTGTTCTTGGTTACTATCCTTTGCGTGTAGTGTCTAATCTTCATCCCCTGAGCATCTTTCCCTTTATCCTTTCTTCTAGTGTTGTCTCTTTTGTATGTATTAATTATGTACCTTCTCTTTTAGGCATCTCCACTTTGACCGTCATGTTGATATGCCCACTGTCCTGTGGGGTATCTATAGGGGGTCACATAGATGTTCCCCTCAGGTGTGAGGCAGATAATTCTTTCAAATTTGTCAGTTTTCTTCGTATATACATTCTACTATAGTCATCCGCTCCTATAGGCTGCCTCCCTCCCCGCCCCTTTACGTTAATGATTTCTTAATATATTATGTATATTGCTATTCCTATTCTTATTTTATCCTCTTCGCCTTTTTTGATGTTATTATTATTCCTAACTCTCCACGAGAAACAGCCCCTTCTATATATTACTATCTCCTTTATAATTTCTTATTGCTGGCTAGAGTAGAAGAAGTTTAATCCTTCAGTTTACATATTTGCCATATTTTAATTTTACGCCATCGATTCCGACTTTTTTTAAGAGGAAAATACTACAGATTAAGGCAGTTGTGCAAATCTTCCGTAATCATTTCTTCTTAATAGTACCCGGATAATTATTGAATCTATATTACAATAATATTGAGAAGAAATAATCACAGTCCACGACGTATTACTGTA